ACCTCTCTCTCCTACACACAAACACACAACTACATATTGAGTGGGGAACCTGAAGCCCTCCATATGTTGTTCAGTTCTGACCCTGACTCTCCTCATTGTTGTAGTCTCTCTGCGTGTGAAAGAGCCATTCATTCCAGAAACAGAGAAGATTCAAGAAGCAGCAGAAAGCTGAAATTGTTTTGACTATGCAAGCACCTTATTCTTGACTGAATCCTTATTGCGTCCATGAGTGTTTATTGCCTTCTTTGTGTAACTACAACCCCAAAAATGCTTCTTTTGTGAGAAGGAGCTGTGCTAAGATGATGCTCTGCTGATTGGGATGAAAGTGATGCTGAACCGTGTCCTTTATGGATCATCCAGCAATTTTATGGATCATCCAGCACTCATCCCAGACCATTCAACATGCTGGCTGCAGTGGCAGAGGAACCCTCTCTGGCACCTGGGGTGGGGCGAACCGCCCGGTGGCGCAAACGCGATGTCCGTATGGACTGCGCACACGTAACATCCCGTAAGGACTGTGTGCATGTGCGACATCCCGTACGGAGTGTGCAAGTGCGGCAGCCTGTACAGTCGCTGTGCAAGAGGCAGCCCTTACGGATGCCCGTATGGACAGCACACAAGAGCAGCGGCCTGTACGGACACCATGCAAGATGCACCCATACTGACTGCGCGTGCCCTCGGCTGCTCTACTGCTGGGGGAAAGGCAGGGGCCATCGTGTCACACACACCTCAGTGGCACCCGGGGCGGACCACCCCTTCCGCCCCCCACTTCGTACGCCCCTGGCTGGCTGGGACTGAGAGGCGTTGGAATCCAACAACAGAGGACAGTGCCAGCCAGTTCTGCCTCTTGCCCTATTTTGCTGCACAACTTGGGAGTGAGCTGCTCAGCCAAATGCTGCTCACTGGTCACGTATCGGAGGTGCCTGTCCACCCCCCCCCCCCATTTTGCAATTCCAAGCACAGATACCATATATGGTTGATAGACTTTGTTGGATTGGCGTGTCACCAGCTGTTAAGGCCTCAGGACTTAGGCACTGATTTACTTGGCCTGGGAGAGCCAGTGTGCTTAACAAAGGTAACACAGGATGGTTTTTTATTATTATTTTAAAGTATTGATTTGACAAGAAGAAAATGCATGCTAAATAAAGAGTGTTTAAATGCGTTCTACATTTGCTAGGCCTCTGAAGTGGCAGAATGTAATGCAAGAGAATGATCCTGGTCATTAAGCCTTGCTTTGTTATACTAATTCCTCCTCCCCCCGCAAGTATTTAGCAGTAGCTACAGAAATATAATGAGGGGAACATGCTCTAGGAAGGTTCCAAAGGGAAAACTTCTACCATATTCTTTACCCTCCATGGAATTAACCGACAGGTATCCTGGGACACCATGGTTGTAGCAGGAGGAAAGCCAACATGAGCTGAGGAGAGTCCAATTTAAAATGAATCTCCTCCCCCTGGGATAAAGATTTGAATGGGAGAGGCATAGAACTAGGCCGGGGCACTGGGTAGCAATTTAGAGAGACTCAAGCAATACAGACCAAAAGGCAAGTGTCAAAGACGCTTGAGGAGAGATTGTATAAAAGTGATTTTTTTATATATTAAAAATATGATTTTCAATTTTATACAATTCAATAATTCTATTATTTTAACATTTCAAAACTTGTCTTCCTTCCCCCTCTTTCTGCAGTTCCTTAAAATTATTTTTAATATTTTCCTGCATATCCAAATTAAATTGATTTGCTCATTTATTCATCAACTTTAAATATATACACTTATAAAACTGCAGGTTATTACAATAATCCTGCCAATGTTCTTATCTGTTTACAATTTATTTTTAAACATTCAGTAAACCATTTCCATTCTTTTATAAAAAGTTTGTTATCTTGATTTCTCATTTTTCTGGCAAGGTTCACCATTATTGCATATTCCATAGGTTTTGGTATCCATTCTTCTTTCGCTGGGGCTTCTTCTTCTTTCTATTTTTTGGGCAAGTAAAGTTCTTTCTGCTGTAGTGGCATACATGAATAAATTTGTATACACTTTGGGTAGTTCTGTCCCTATATTTCCCAAAAAGAATTGTACAAGTGTTTTTATGCTATGCTAAAAACCTCTGGGCCAAATTGGTGAACTGGAGTGCTTGGTCTTAGAGGATAGCATTGATAACGAAAACCTGGTGGAACCGAGAGACCCATTGGGACATGGTTATCTTCAGTTATAAAATTTATAGGAAGGGCAGGGAAGGATGCACTGGAGGGAAATTTGTGGGTACTGAGTGCAGCAAGCTAGAAATCCTCAAAGGGACAGATTCCTCCACAGAATTGTTGTGGGTGGTGATACAGGGCCGGAAGAGTAATTGATTAGTGGGGATGTGTTATCGTTCCCCTGATCAAAGTGCTCAGTGAGTGCTTGAGATGAAGGATGAAATCAAAGACACATCCAAAAGAGGATATGTTGTAAAAAAAGGTGACTTCAACTGCCCTCACATTGTCGGCATCCATCTGTCTTGAGAGAGAATGGAGTGCGCCTCTGAGGGCAAAGTCAATCTGCTACGTTAGCATCACCAACATGATCATCTCCCTGCACCACAAGCCTGGGTGGCCAGCGTGTATGGAGGTCATGGGCTGCCCAGTCAATAAGACACCCCTCTCAGCCTCACTGATGTGGTCCAAAGGAAAGCAGAGCAATAGGTTTGACATCAGAAGTTGCTGGAAGGAGGAGTACAAGGCAGCACCCAACCGTCTTAGGGACTCCACTCTGGATTTGTGTAGCCCTTTTTTCTCCTGAAGATATCCTTCAAGGCAGTGGAGGGTTAGGTTCAGAGCTTTCCTTCTCCACCCTCACATAGGCTGTGCCAGCCATGAGAGGGTAGAGTTGGAAAAGGTTCAGAAAAGGGCAACCAAGATGATCAAGCGAATGGAACAACTACCCAATAAGGAATGATGGTTGCAACTTTTGGGACTTCTTGGTTTAGAGAAAAGGTGAGTATTAGATGGCAAGATAGAAGTTTATACAAATTGTGCACACCATCGAGAAAGTGTAAAACACATGCTAGAGGAGAACTTCTGTCTATGATGCTAATATTTGGGTTTTTATTTTTATTTTTAAAAGCCTTCTCAGCCACAAGTTCAGCAAATACCCACCCAACCCTGGGAATATACTGCAGCATTTCGTTGCAGGACCTGTTTGTGTATTTCTATTTTAATGGTCTGATAAATCCAGAATAAGCACATTCCAAGTGATGGGGGTGGGGGAGTACAGGAAGGCATAGCAACCATTATTTAAAGCGTAATGATATGAGTGCTGACAATTGAAACAAGTGGGCAGGATTTAATACTGGTCTGTTCTTAAGAACAACTGCCTTGATAACACATAATAATCAATATCGAAGGAGTTTAAATTGCAATCCAGCCTTCTTGTATGAAAATGAAACTTTTTCTTAGTTGCAGCATTCAGCTTAAATGAAGACTCATTGAAGACCCCTATTCAGAAGGGAACTGTTATTCCTAGTAATGAAAACATTTATGAGGAACAGCTTGATAGCTGTACAGTTCTTCTTCCTTTCTCATGCTAATTATTCTTATGAAGAAGCTACAAATAGAAACAGAGCCTGCATCCAGTCTCATGCACTACCAGTTTTAAAATTACTCTTTTGATGAGCAAACATTTCCTCTGAAAGGCATGTCAGAGTTACTTACAGTATATATATATATATGAGAGAGAGAAAGGCCTGATCCTTAAAAACTTAAAAGGTTTCATCCAAAGATTCCCCCCTCAAAATCCAGCAAAACCCCAAAACAAAACAAAAAGCTTATTGATTGATTGATGGCCTGACATCAAAAATATGTGCCACATTATATTTAAAGCGAAACTGACCAACACAAGTTGGCAAATGGTGCCGGATAGCTCAGTCAGTAAAGCACGAGACTCTTAATCTCAGGGTTGTTGGTTTGAGCCCCATGTTGGGCAAAAGATTCCTGCATTGCCAGGGGTTGGACTAGATGGCCAATTGATCACAATTCCAACAGAAGTATAACTTGGATTTGGTCCTCCAAGTCCCCCCAGATTTTCTGTTTCTGCTTATACCTCAGTGATGTGAGAAGGTTTGCAGGAGCACACTGCATAGGATGTTGGGTTGGGAAGCAGAAGCCAGGAGTTGGAGCTCCGCTGAGGGAGCCAAATATGCTCCAGTCAAGGGCATAAGCTTTGCATGCAAAAGGTCCCAGCTTCAATCCTCAGCATTTCCATGTAAGATCTATGAAAGACTCCTGTCTGAAACGCTGCAGAACTGGGGCTGGTCATTGTAGGGAATATGGGCCAACCGTCTAGCTCCAGGTAAGGCAGATTCTTATGTGCCACACCAGCCAGGTAATCCGAATAGCCTACTCTTTGGGCTGGTTTATGATTCCTTGCCTTGCCTTGTGTGTTCCTACTCCTATTAACTGACAACTGAAGGAACCAAGCTGCAGCGATGCCCAGGCTTTGAAGTGATGTAAATGAGATTTACTGGCAACTGTAAATATGTCATATGGCATTAATAACCCCTGCTATAAATAAGGTTGAGTTTTATTTTAGCCTTCTCATTTGCACCTGAATAAGAAAACTCTCTCTCTCTCTCTCTCTCTCTCTCTCTCTCTCTATATATATATATATATATAAAATATTGACTGCTTTGCATTCTGGACATTTGGCCTGTCCTCCAAGATGCTTGCTTTGTTATCCATGAAGTGTATTGAGTGAAATAATGGATATGAAGGCATGCCTTAAAGCAAAATAATGGATGGCAGTTGCAGCAACTGCCACTTATGTGCATCTCCCATTGTGTGTGCTCTCACACACAGATGCCATGCTCTGCCTCTTCTAGGGTCTCAAATGGAATATTTCAGTCTCTGTGCCCAAGACAATTTAGTTTTCCTTACTAAAATTGCTGGCAAGAGCTTTGTTTGTGCCAATAGGTGTTTGTTTATGTTTGTTTGTTACCTGATTATCAGAACACCTGCTTACTTGGAAGACGTCCGTAGCACTGAGTCGTTTTGTGCAGGCATCTGAATATTTATCAACTGGTTTGTTGTTGTTGTTGTTGTTGTTGTCCAGTTGTGCTGCACCTACATTAAAACTATGGATCTGATAAGTAATAAATATTGTGCACTTGCACCTTGAAAGAAAAGTGCAAACACTGAAATGCCATTATTCCAAGAAAGATAAGAATTTAGAAAGAAATGAACTTCTGATATATATCAGATTAGATTTTTAAGCTTCTGTCATTATTATTTTTTAATGTATTTCCGAGCAGCTTATAATGCCATATGGCCTAAATAAAATAATCTCTAGAAGACTAAATTACATTGGCCCTTCCTACCTTTAGAGCTTGTTATATTGCTGTACATGTATTCTATTATGATAGTTGAGGATTGGTTCATTCGTTTGATCCATGGTGGAACTCCAGGACTCTCCAGAAAGAGATGGGGAGGGGGGTGTCTGACGTTGTGTGTGACATCACAACATCATGCTTGGACGTTGGACCCAACGCCCAGACATCGGACACGAGGCCTGCATGTGACACTGTCGTGTGTGACATACAGGTGTCAAACAGTAATTCAGCTTCCATGGCTGGCAGCTCCTCTACTTCCTCCTGCCACCACCATGGGCTAGGGGCTGCTTCCCCTCCATGGCAGGAGGAGGAGCCGCTGCATTCCTGGCTTGCATGACCACTGTGAGCCACTGTGGCCAGACTTCCAGAAGCCGCTGACTGGAGAGCCAGTGTGGTATAAGTGGTTAAGAGCGGCAGACTCGTAATCTGGTGAACCGGATTCGCATCTCCGCTCCTCCACATGCAGCTGCTGAGTGACCTTGGGCTACTCACACTTCTTTGAAGTCTCTCAGCCCCACTCATCTCACAGAGTGTTTGTTGTGGGGGAGGAAGGGAAAGGAGAATGTTAGCCTCTTTAATACTCCTTCGAGTAGTGATAAAGCGGGATATCAAATCCAAACTCTTCTTCTACTTCCAGAAGCACAGCTCCAGCACACTGGCTTCCAGATGGTGACAGCAGCCTAGCAGGCCTGCCAGCAGCCTGCCAATCTTTGTGGCACCGTTGTCATTCTAGTAGGCCTTGTGCTGGCACCAGCAGCCCCGAAATACCTCACAGCAGTGGCAGCAGTAGTTGCTCATCTACTGGGGGGTGGGGGGTAACTCTGCCCCATCAAATATATTTTTCAGGGTCTGCAGTCACCTAGTAGTTGGTGCCCTGGTTTGGGATAACCACATCACTGATTCACCCTGTAATGGGAAAACTGTAGAAGCAGCTGCACCTTTCCATTTATATGGTATGAATCAGACCTGAAGTCCATGTGATTATTATACCCATGCCTGAAACAAGGGCATGCAGAGATTCTTTCTTCATGGCTGTTATTGAGCCAGTTACGGAGCCAGTGGCTGACTTTGGGGCTCAAATTTCATCAGTGCCCTGTGTGACGCCAAAATTTGCCCCCCCCACCTTCTGCTCCATTTTAAATCATAGTTGTGGCATCTCCTGTACCATCCCTGAGGCTCCATGCCCCATGTGAGTGAACTGGTCACGCTCCCTTAATGTCAGGATGCTGTCAGCAGCTTCCGGCTGCCCAGTCCCTGACAATTAGTTTTCTTTAACAGTGGAAGCAGGTTTTCAGATTATACACAGCACTTCTTCAGGTTTTGATTATGAGAGCAAAAAATAAACGTCTAGACAGAAACAACTAGGTAGTCAGGCTGATGATTACTTGGTTGCAGAAGTTTACTGGCCATTGCTGTTGGCATGGAGATAGTCTAGGTTGAATGCAAACATGCCATTCTGATGTCATGTGCAATGTCATAAAGAGGATCTGCTTTAAGTCTTGGTAAAGCCAGAAACAGTTAACAGTCAGACTGCATCTCAGCCCTGTCAAGATGGATCTTCATAATAGGTGATGAATAGTTTTATTTGGGGGATATATTAACTTTTAGTTTTGGGAAAAAGTTTTAGATTGGTTTGCCAGTTTGTAACCCACCAAGTTGAGACCAATAGATATACATTAGCAAACTCCGTACCCATCAAATAATCAACTTTATGTGTGATTTTGGGATGGATTCATACGACCACATTTCCTTTCTCAAGAAAGGTTGGAAGGGAGGTAATTTGAATGGCTATTGCTCTCTGCTCCCTGCTGTCAGGGTGCTGTTAGTGGCTCCTGGCTGGTTCCCCAGAATAGTATAAAGACAAGGAAAAGTTTCATACAGTCCTTTTTTATTTCAAACTTTACAGGGAGAAGCTATAGAACTCAGCCTCTTGGATAATGGCATTGTCCTGAGTGAATCTCCACCACCTGTCTCTCCCACTTCCTCATTCGTCAACCTCATCACTTCCTCTATGCGTGTCACTAAATGCCCTCTGTCTTCGAGCTCTTTGCTCTTCTACTTTTAAGGCTTGCTGGGTTCTGGGAGATGGTGGGTCTGGAATGCTGTCCCATGATTTCCCAACTTTCCCCCTCATCTGCCTCTGATCTGCCACCTCCCTCAAACCTCTGTTGTAAATCTATACTGTCTTCCTCTTCCTTCTCCCTGGAAGGGTCAGGATGGGGAGGTGGTCTCCACCGTTTCTCTTCTGACCAGTCCCTGACATCTAAGTCCACCTCTGATGGGACACTCTTCCCGCTGAGACTCATCACAGGCAATCATTAAATCTTTCTGGAAGTGTTGCAAGATCGTGTCTGGCCTGCCTTGCAGTATCTGTATATCTGTATAGTTTCAGTTTTTAAGGGTTTATTTATAGGGCCAAACTAAATGTGAGGATGACCACACAATGAGCGGTTGTTTAATTTTAACAAACAGCAGCTGGACTGGGGTAGCAGGAAGGAGCCATTTCACCCTTTGAACCCGCCATGTTCCTAATCAAATCTTCTTTTTGCTTGGGGAGGAACACATTTTCAAGAAACAGTTGCAGGGGCCCCCTGCTGCAGCCCCAAAATGGATAGCATCTCCTCAGCTGCTTTTAAGCTTTTGAAGACACATGACTGCTAGTTTTGTCCATAGTTGCCAGCTCTTGGTCAGCATCATGTTGAATGACTATCATTAAGAAAATAAATCAAAGTTGATCTTTGGTGAAAGATTTCTCTCTCTCTCTCTCTCTCTCTCTCTCTCTCTTTCAAAACCTGAAATTCTTTCTGACCTGCCTTCTGAAGTTATTCATTTTGATGAAGTACTGTGCAGGAAATGATACAATATAGAGAATGTTATTAATCAAAGCTATTCACTGAGGCCTTAACTGTGACCATTGTTGAGAAATGGAAAAGTGCAGTCTAAATCTGATTGGTTATTCCTGTCATCCTAGACTCTGCATATGGAACAGCTTCCTTCATTTCGCAGTGACAGATAAAATACATATGGGGAAAATTTATTCATTTTATGTGTGTGTCTGTTTTTTTTTTTTTTTAAATAAGAAACATCAAGTCATTTGTATATTATTTCACATAGAGACTGTGGTTGTGACAGACCAAGTTTACGATCTGAGAGGATTTTCAGTATTTTTATAGGAAAACAGCAAGCTTGAGGACTATGAAAAATAGGAGGGGATTAATAAATTAGCAAGCATTTCCAAGCTACTCAATACACCCAATACTTGTTTGTATTTAGAAATATTTTAATTCAGAAGCCCATCTTCTCTGACAGCTGGGTCAGACTAAGAGAAGAGCTCTAACATAATATTTTCCAGAAATGAGGATGCTTGAAAATAAGCTTTTCTAATCTCCCTCTGTGCTCCCCAACCCTGCTAAATCTCTACTGTCTAGCGGGTCTCCATTATTCTCCTGCCCATTTCTAGGCTCTTTGGTCATGAGCTGTTGCATTTGTCACGATTCCATCTTGGGTTTTTTAAGGTCTTTAAAGTGCTCCTAATCCACCCAAGGTTCTGTAATAATGGAGCATGAAATTGTTCATAAATTTACAAATTGATCGATATGGGAGGGAATGTAAAGTGAAATCTTCTAAGCTTGCTTTCAAAACACCAGGAAAACGGCTCATCACAGTGAGGACGAAAGGGATGATGGTGGATACAGAAAGCATCCGTAGATGAAATATGCCTCAGATTGCTTGTAGTGTGCCACACTACAGCCATATAGTGTTCCACCTACACAGCACCACAGATTTTCCCCTAAGCACATCCAAATAACTTTATTGTACTAGCCATTGGCTGTGACAAATCTGAATAAAAAATAAATACAAGCAAAAGGGGTGCCACACCACAAATAACAGTCTCTATTTACATCTCTCTGTCTCCCTTACAATTCACTGTTGTATTGTCCAGGGTCTTCTTTCTGATCTTTTTGGCCACCACAGCAAAAAGGGTGACTTTGTGAGTCATTGAAGTGTTTACATTGCTAAGAAGCCATAGGACCTTCTATGTCAGGGGTAGACATCTTTCCTGTACGGATGGTAAGGTGAGAAATTGCCTCCTAGGTCCAATGTATAGTGGGCAAAATAGTAAATAGTGCAATATGTCTTCCAACTGTGGTTGCCCACATATACAGAATCTGTCTTTGTATGGTACCCTGTACCTTTGTATGGCATCGTCCGTCCAGGACGGTGGATGGTATAGCTTGAAAACGCAGCTCAGTAAAAGTGAATCTTAGTGAGGCTGGCCAGAGATTCAACAGGTAACTGGCTCTAAAATGGACCGTTTTTAGAAGGGGGAACCAAGGAGAGCATTAGTGTTTCAATGAGCATTATACTGCTTTCAATGTATAGTGCAGATGCATAGTTTTAGTCTGGATCCATCTCCTTTTTTCCATGGGAGTCCATTCACACACTTAGCTGGAAGTTGTAAACTGCAGGATAACAGTGTGAAAAACTCAAGCGATGCACAACATGCATGTCTGAAATAGCTTTTAGACTCGATCAGCAATCCACGAATTGTTCTCCTGTTTCACTAAGGCAGTTCTTATTAGGCTGAACAGATAAGCAGGAAGATTGGAGGCATTACACAGATGAGGGAGGAAATAATTTCCCTACATGAAATAAGAAATGTCAATTCCAGTAAGCTGGAGTTAAAACAGAAAGCTGCTAGGTTAGTATTAGTACAAATAAGCAATCTGTCATTATGTAAAGGCTGCCATCTATCATTCAGTGTGCCCATATTTTTAGGATTACTGTGCCAATATTCAAATTACATTGTTTTCTTCCCCTTGCATACACACAAAGAGAGAGAGAGAGAGAGAGAGAGAGAGAGATTTTGTGATAGAGCTCCCCCTTCATCAGTCAGATATGAGACCTCTGTATTGAAAATGCCCCTATCATTAAATGAATGGAATACACACCGTTGAGCAAGCAGGAGCCTTCCCTTTGATACCCAAGGACTCCATATGAAATAATCAAGGGACTCATTCTATTCTCTTTGAGCTTTGACGTATTCTCAGATCTGCTGTGAACTGAGCCACTCTACCTTCTGTTCCCCAAACCATCCTTTCTACGTGATTCCAATTCAGAGTGCATCTTCTTTGAAGAAAGGATTTCCTTTCCCTGTGTATTTACGGACTGTCTCACAAAAGTGTACCATCTTCATCTACCCTGTAGACATCAGGGAATATCAGAGTGCAAATTGTTAAATATATATCCAGAGGCAATATGGTTCCCATAGTCAAAATCTTTTCATAACACTCACAAATGAAACATCTACATTTCCCCTCAAGATAGAGTCACGGGCTCATCCAGACCGCACTTTTCAGACACAGGTCCACACTTTAAAGCTCAGAGTCTGGTAGTTTTTGTTTGTTTGTTTTTGTCCTGGTGCTTTCCCCAGGAAAACCTGTGTTTTTGGAGCAAGCACCAATCTGCAGAAAGCGTACAGTAAAGTTGACAGCACAATAGCTTTGTAAAAAGCATTTTGGTTTCCCTGTGAATGTCCTGGTCCTCAAACACTCTGCGCTTCAGCTGGGAGAAAGCTGCACTTGCAGAGCTCAGGCGATGCTGGATTTCGGCATCGATGTCGGTCCTTGTGGAAAGATGTCGGCCCAGTAGGAGAGGTGATCACACTTTTCACACTTCACACTTATCCAAATTTTATAATACCTTTCCTGCTTCAAAAATAATATCAAAACGCATATAAGTGTATGTTTTAGGATGAAATGTTTTTTTAAAAATGTATCCACTGAGATAAAATGCATATTTAAACATGTATTTTTGATCAACTTTATCTGAGTATGTATCTAAATGCCAAAAAATAAAAATAATAAAAGAATGCCGAACTAAAATAATCTTACCCCTCCATCCCTACCTCCAGCACATTTCATGAAGTCACTTTTGATTATGGCCTGACACCTCATTTTGGGAGGTTTTTAGTGAAGGGCAGAAGCAAAACCTTGCGTACTCCTTGTATGCTCTCGGTAGTGGGGCGATTGATTCCATTTGTCCAAGAAATTGCTACTTCAAGCTATGTGTGTTGTTGATGTGCTATAAATTTACCAACCAAGAGTGACTTAAAAAAATAAAAATACTGCCAATTTAAACACACAAGTGTGGGATGCTGTCTTACTCCAAATTAGGTGATGGCTGGCAGCAGCTCTAAGGGTTTTCAGCAGGGGTCTCTCCTGGACCTACCTGGAGAGATCAGAGATTGAACCTAGACCTTATTCCTGCCAAATCAGGTGTTCTGCCACTGAGAAACGGCCCTTCTGTATGCAATTAGGCCAATGAACAAACGTTCCTGGAGCTAATTGATGGGGCAGCTGTTTTGTCTTCTATCAGACAATCTGCAGAAAAAGGTACAAAGAGATGGCAACAACTATAGGTTGTCATAGAGACAGAAACTATGTAGACAAAGAAAAAGAAAGGAAAAGACTTGGATCTGGAGAGGCTGAACACAATATTGAGCCAGTGTCTACTGAAGAAGACTGTAAAAGCGAAGGTGTTTGTAAAGAGTATTCTAAGCAAAGAGAATCTGTTTGGTAACTTTACTGGCTCCTGTCACCCCACTACCAGGATTCTAAAACTATTGTAAGAACAACAGGTTAGCCATCATTATTGCCACCAAAATTCTCAAATTGCTATAAGAAAAGCAAATTAATTATTATTTATCACTTAAATAACTTAACATGAGGCTGTTTTTCATCACAACAAGCTCTGTTATGCTAATTGCATGGTTAGCATCAATGACCACTTTACCAAACTCTCCCCCGACTCAATAGACATTCTCAGGCTTCGTGCCTGTACCCACTGGCTTGAGAGTCAGTCCCATTGAACACATGAGGCTTGCTTTTAAGCAGTCATGTGTGCAACTGTGTCGCCAATACACAAATTTGTGCAAATTAATTTGAATCCCTAGCCGCAATTAAGATTGCTGGAAGAAATATCAACAACCTCAGATATGCAGATGACACCACCTTGATGGCAGAAAGTGAGGAAGAATTAAATAACATTTTATTGAGGGTGAAAGAGGAGAGTGCAAAATATGGTCTGAAACTGAACATCAAAAAAACGAAGATCATGGCCACTGGTCCCATCACCTCCTGGCAAATAGAAGGGGAAGAAATGGAGGCAGTGAGAGATTTTACTTTCTTGGGCTCCATGATCACTGCAGATGGTGACAGCAGCCACAGAATTAAAAGACGCCTGCTTCTTGGGAGAAAAGCAATGACAAACCTAGACAGCATCTTAAAAGGTAAAGACATCACCTTGCCAACAAAGGTCTGTATAGTAAAAGCTATGGTTTTCCCAGTAGTGATGTATGGAAGTGAAAGCTGGACCATAAAGAAGGCTGATCGCTGAAGAATTGATGCTTTTGAATTATGGTGCTGGAGGAGACTCTTGAGAGTCCCATGGACTGCAAGAAGATCAAACCTATCCATTCTGAAGAAAATCAGCCCTGAGTGCTCACTGGAAGGACAGATCCTGAAGCTGAGGCTCCAATACTTTGGCCACCTCATGAGAAGAGAAGACTCCCTGGAAAAGACCTTGATGTTGGGAAAGATG